GGGGGCAGAGTATGGTGTAGCCCTGACCTGGCCACGTTCGGGGAGGGACGTGACATGGCCCAGTTCCAACCCACCACACAGGGCTTGAGACTCCAGGTTTGGGAATTTGGCAGCAAAAGAGGGTGGCCATATTCATTGCCAATGTTCCCCTGCCACCAAATTTTGCAACCCATAGGGAACTCCACAGGCAAGCATGGTTCCATGGGCTGTGTTTGGCCTGCAGGCCAGAGGTTGAACGTCCCTGGTGTAAAGCTTCTTGGCAGGAAACAACACCAAATGGCATTGGACTGAGGACACAGACTTGATTGACACCATTTTACTGAAAATGGAATGGAGATATTCCCAAATATTAAAAAGCAATCTGCACCCACAGCAATACCACCTGGTATCAGAGTTGCACCAGCTACAAGGGTTAAGCTAATTGCCTGCAGGAGGCTGGGCTTAGTATATAAATAAGCTGAGGCCTTTCATTTGGGCTTTTGATGCTCAATGCCTCACAACCTGCAGCATCTTCCTGCCTTGGACACCAATACCTCACTCCTATTTGCCCTACTGTGTGTCCTGAACTCCCCAGCTCCTGGCCTGGACTGCATCACTACAAACTAGAAACGCAACTCTTGACTCCCTGGATCTGATCTCCCTGGATATCCCTTTGTGCAGCTTTAGCTACTGATCCAGATTCCCTGCAGGCTCAGGTGCTTGTTTAACCATACACTATTCAAGACTGCTTATACCCCAATCCTTAAACCAACTTTCATAATTCTTCCCATCATGCCACATGAACTTGTCTAACTATAACAATTAATTTGTTATGGCAGTGAGTCTTAGATAGAAGGTTCTGTAAACCTTCTGATGGTGTTAAAAGCATCTATAAAAACACGATAAATGAGAATCTTCTGTTCTCTGCATTTGTTCTGTATCTGTCATGTGGTAAGGACCACACTTGCTGTTTCTCTTCCTTCTCTGAAGCCACAATAGCTGTCAGACAAAGAATTTTCATCTGTTTGGCAAGTAGACCAGTTGAGTATGATTTTCATAAAGATATGAATACCTTGCCAGGAATCAAGGTATTAGGGAGACTTCTTGATGATTGTCATATATGAAATGATTATCCTTCTTTCTAGATGGTCAGTAGAAACATCTTTGTATTCTTGGGGAATCTTTCACTTATGCCACATTATCTGAAAAAATCTGCAACACAGATTAAGTAGTGTCCATCAGTTATATAGATCTCAGCTGGTATAAGGAACCATGATTTGAGCAAGGTAAGTCACCTGTGTAGCAAGGGCAGAGTCTAGAAACTGGGGTTAGGGGGACTGAGTCAGGAAGTAAATGGAGTCATAGTTTCATAGTTTCAGCTGGTATAAGGAACCATGATTTGAGCAAGGTAAGTCACCTGTGTAGCAAGGGCAGAGTCTAGAAACTGGGGTTAGGGGGACTGAGTCAGGAAGTAAATGGAGTCATAGTTTCATAGTTTCTAGGGTCGGAAGGGACCTGGGCAGATCATCTAATCCAACCCCCTGCCATGGCAGGAAAGAGTACTGGGGGTCAAACGACCCCAGCAAGATGGTCATCTAACCTCCTCTTAAAAACCCCCAGGGTGGGAGCCTGCATCACCTCACTTGGAAGCTGGTTCCAGACCCTAGCCGCCCTGACCGTGAAGTAGCGCCTCCTGATGTCCAACTTAAACCTTCCCTCCGCCAGTTTGTGACCGTTATTCCTGGTCACTCCTGGTGGCGCTCGGGGGAACAGGGACTCCCCCAGTGCCTGTTGATCCCCCCTGACTAGTTTATAGCAGGCCACAAGATCCCCCCTCAGCCTTCTCTTCTGGAGGCTGAACAGGTTCAGGTCCCGTAACCTTTCCTCATAGGACCTGCCCTGCTGTCCCTTGATCATGCGAGTGGCCCTCCTCTGGACCCTCTCGATGCTGTCCACATCCCTCTTAAAGTGCAGCTCCCAGAACTGGACTCAGTACTCCAGCTGCGGCCTGACCAGTGCCGCATAGAGGGGGAGGATCACCTCCTTGGTCCTGCTTGAAATGCATCTGTGGATGCACGACAAGGTACAGTTGGCCTTCCTAGCC